CGTGCAAAGCCTCCCTTGGCATCCAGCTCTTACATCCCGTCTATGCTGTTTTCCAAGCAAACAGAAACGAATACAGGAACTGCTGACTTTGCAAACAGAAGTAGTCTCAGCAGCCATCGAAAGGCACAGAATTGACTCTCTATTCCGAATGAAGCAGTGTTCTCAGACGTCTTACTGCTGGCAAACAGGTGGGTTCTGTTCTCCAGGTGAAACTCTTGGCTATGTGACAGGCCAGCCTGGAGGTACCCGTGTGCACAGTTTACAGCTCTGGACACCTGCTTTGGTTTTTGTTTTTTTTTTTTAAAGATTTTATTGGAAAATGGAGGAAGGGGAACAGCGCTGGGGAGTTGGGGAAGGGGAACAGACAAGTTGCTGTCCTTTTATTCTTCAGTCTAATTGTGGAGGACGTTGCTTCACTGGCCAATATTGGTATTATCATTGCGCTCATCCCGGGTGAGATAGTCGCTCGCTGGCCATTGGACGGCTGCTCATGGAAGCTCACGAAAGCACATGCCTGCTGCCAGCCAGCCCCACTGCAGCCTACGCCGTCGCCAGCAACGTACGGCAGCCCAGCTTCAGGTCGAGCTGTTCACCATCTTAGCTGTAGAGGGCGCAGCGTCGCTGGCCCATGTGGGATCCAAACTGGGATCATGCTGCTCAGAGCTGGCGTCCCAAGCCAACTCCTAACCAATGTGCCACTCAGCTGGCCTTGGAATTTATTATAGAAAACTGCTCAAACGCAAGTGTGATTCTCTCAGCGAAATGGTCACTGACCCAAAGGCTCCACATGAGGCTGTGGGCAGTGGAAAACATGCCACCAAAGGTTTTGGGAAGGAGCAACACTTACGTGTAACTGAGTGCTCTCTGTAGCTGAGCTGTGCACACAGGTGTCAACAGGCTGGTCTGTCAGGGAGCCAAGAGTTTCACCTGGAAAACAGAAGCTGCCTCTTGGCCAGTGTTGCATTTTCAGTAATGCAGCTGAGAATACTGCTTTGTCAACTCTGTGCCTTTCAACAGTTGCTGAGACCACTTGCATTTGCAAAGCCAGTAGTTCCTACATTCCCGATTCCGTTTGCTTGGAAAACAGCATAGACAGGGATGTGAGAGCTAGATGCCAAGAGAGGATCTGGCACACCAGTAGGGCACTCGGGGTCCCAGGGTCCCTAATACGGGCGACGGGTATTATGGCACACGCTACATTCCCCTCCGAGGTGGTTCTTCCGTGGGCGTCGCATTCCGTAATAGCAGCTATATACACGTTGTGCACAGGATGGGGTGAAGGCAGCAGTCTTGCTTAAAAGATGAGCACAGCCTGAAAGTTCTGCTTTTAGCTAGTCAGACAGGATGTGAACGAAGGACACCGGAAACACCCCCTTCCTTTCCGGCTGTCCTTCGATGTGCCCGATCTGTGGGGAGAAAAGCAAGGCATCAGGTTGGAGGCAGCTGGCAGGGGCCCCGGTCCTAGCCCAGTGGCTCAGAGCGCGTCCCGGCTTCGCCCGGAGACTGGGGTGGAATGCGCGCTTGGCTGTCACCCTTTTTGGAACCACGGAGAGCTAACGGTAACAAACTACATCACAAGACCATGATGACAAAACGGCAAAGGACGGGACGTACAGCACGCTCGGCCCCGTTGACACGGGTCTCCTTTTGCCCCCGCGGCAGCCAGGCGATGGAGCTATTCCTGGACGCTCATTGTACACACGGAGGGACAGCGGCCCAGGGAGGCAGCATGGCCTACCCTCGGTGTCACACGGGCTGCACACGCCGGAGTCCCTGCTCTTAACCACGGGCCTCGACAGCCTTTCCCTGCCGGGTGACCTCAGACAGAGCTTGCTAAGCCACTTGTCTGTAAAATAGGGCTGAAAAAAAAATCTTCGCTCAGGCTCGTGAGAGTACATAGAAAACTTTACATATGGAAAGGTTGCTCTGTACTAAGAACACGTCTTCTGGTCGCCGTGGGGAAAGGATATTGTGACGGTCTGAGACTGACTGTGACCTGCGATAATTTCACTGTCTGCCGCCTAAGCCTGTAATCCACGGTTACCCACAAAAAGCTTCCAATGATCTCGATTACATCAGCATGAATGGCATTAACGAGAATCCTGAGGACAAAATCACAGGGTGTGCACACTGGCTTCAGATGACAAACAGAGAGAGGAGGGTGGCTCTGAGAGCCAGGCCAGCTCTCACTTCCCTCCACGAAGTACCCGAGTGCAGAGGGCAGCTGGAGCAGAACTGTGTGTCCAGCCCAGGGCTGTGCCGTCACCTACAGGGCTGTGGCCTTGGGCGGGCATCCAGGG